TTGTGTGTCTTAGGAAATTTAAGGGTTTTTGAAGCTCTGTGCCAGCAACCAGGGCCAAAGATCAAACAGTATTTTTATTATACCACACTCTTCTTTCAGGATTTCCAGCCTAAGTGGTAGGTCACTAGGCTGGAGGAAAAGATCCTGGCTGCAGAGGGTCACAGTATAGCCCAATATAGGCTCTTGTACTGGGAGCCCCCTCTTCTACCAGCGATCAGTGCAACTGACTTACTTTTTGTAAGTGAATGAGCAGACACACTTACCAAGGTAAGCATTAATCTACGTTCATAAAAGGAAAGATATTATTCTTATTAATATGACCTTAAGCTTTATGACCTCTTTGTGCTGGACATGGAGATTCAGAGCTTATACCTCAACCTTCCGCCACTTCAAGGAAGGACTTGATGCCCAGCTGTGGGGGGCAGGGCCAGCAGGCAGCTCCATCAGGGTCAGTTTCAGTGCAGAGGGCCACCCCGCCTGAGTTCATGCCCCACCTGGGGCAGTTCACACCTATGAGTGAGAATACAGGCCCAGCCCTTTCAGCCCAATGCAAATGTAACTCCAGGGAGAAAATAAGTTCCCAGCCTGAGGCAAATTACCTTTCAAGCCAAATTCAGTCAAAGGGAGAAATAAAGTGGGAGAAACTCATTTATTGCTTACAAGCAGTTGTCCACTTCTGCTCACCTGTGTCTCTCAGGACTCCACCCAACCTCTCTAGTCCAGATATGCCTTAGCTCCCCCAGTAATCACCTACTGATATGGAGATGGACTAATTCTCTCCACCCCTTGGAAAAACCTACGTGTACAGAGATGCACTGAGGCCAGGCAAGAGATTCTGGAATTACTGCAATTACTCACAGCAAGACAACTGTAATGGGCAATACTCATTCCAGAGCAACCCATCAGGTTGGCCAAGGTTTTGTTGGGTCTGCATTGCATTTCAACGTTTTCCTCTCTGTCTAACCCTCTTTTCTTTCTGCAGGGTGCCCATCCCTATAAATATCTTGCCCCCAAACTCCACCTCAGTATCTGCTTCCAGAGCACTTACCCTGTGACATCTTTGCAAAACCATAAGCATGGTGCATTCAGCTGAGAAGGACATGGCCTCTTCCTGAACCTGGCTTCAAGAGTAACTGAAATAGCTGGAATGGCCCCGCCTCACCAGCTGGCATCAGTGGTCCCAACTCTAGTTAGATTACCTTTGACTCCAAATTTCCCCTTGGTTAGAACAGAACCACTCAAGATTATTGTCATTTCCCTTAACAGTGATAATCTCAAATATTGTTAATTCCCTTAACAATGATAATCCTCTCCCTGAATGGTTCTTCTTCTTTCTCCCAGTCAATTGGAGTTGCTTTTGAGGAAACTGGATTTAAAAAAAATAAATGACCACTTTAAAAACAAAGTGTTTTAGGGGCGCAATTAAAGTTATCTGGGGACTGTCTACTTGTGAAAACTTCACTTCCATGGTCTCACCTTAACAGAAGCATTTCAACCTAAAACTCTTGCTCTAACCTTTCTCTTAACAAGCAGGTAGCCTGTTGTTCAAGGCCCCTCTTCAGTGTCATCACCTGTTACAGAAGCACATAAATCCCATGTTCAGCCCAGTCAACCTATTTTATCTCTGAGAGCTGGGCCCATCTCTGAAGCCATACTCCTGTGTCCCTGCTGCACTCATAGTCCTCCTCTGGCTGCAAGTACTTTCATCTTTCAATTCCCACTTCAAGTCCCCCCTCCGTGAAGACTCCCAGTCTACAATGATATTTTTTATTCCCTGCACTCCTGTATTTCTGAGTCCTGTGCTACCTTGAACCATCTGTTACTCTTTCATGTAACTGCCTGTCTCCCTGTCTCAACTGCATACATACTTGTAGCTTCCAGAGAGTCTTATGCTCAGTATATATTTGTTGCTTTTACTTTCCCTGACCCCTATTTCACCCACAGGGGCAGATGTATCAGCAACTTCTGCCACATGATAAGCCGTCCACAGTCCCAGGGGTTGACTGAGCTCATCTGGGAAGTTCTCACTTGGAGTCTCTCATGCAGTCACAATCAGATGTCAGCTGGGGTCTCAGTCATCTGAATACTCACCTGGGCTGAACATCCAAGGTGGCTCACTCTGCTGACATGCAGAGGAAGGTGGCTATTGGCTGAGAGCTCAACTAGAGCTGTTAACCAGAGCACCCATCCATAGCCTTGCCATGTGGCTCCTCAGAGCCTGACAGCTGTGGGCGAAGCAGTGGGGACCTTCCCTCTTCTTCAGGCACTCAAGTCTAGCAGAGCCGTCATGCTCTTCCTAACTTGCCATCCTGTATTCTCCACCTGAAACTGATAGTCTGGGGTCCTAGATGTCCCCTAGGTCTCTTTAGTGCCCTACACACCTGTTTGGCAAGGGGAGAGTTAATTCTAGTCAATTTATGTCAAAGATGAGTTACTCAACAGGTCTTCTTAACCTTCTTTAAAATAAAGTATCTGAACAGTAGCCAGCTAGAGATAATACGTTCCTGCTGGAGAGACTAATTCCAGCAGCCCAGGGAAGACAACCTTAGAAGCCAGCAGGAAAGCGTGGTCCCCACCCCTCCCCCATCCCCTCAGCACTGCACTTGCTCAGTCTACCTCAGGTAGCTCTGCTGCTCCTGTTCACCACTGTGTAGTCACATGGCTGCTCCTAGACTTAATCTCACTTCAGATATTGCAGCGCATCAGGAAATAAAACAGGCTTCATGAGAAAAACCAGTAACTAGGCAAAATGATAGCAAAAGAGTTGGTAATTCATGTCAGTAGTTGAACTAAATGGTTGGTTGGCAGGTGCTCTTCAGCATGTCCAATAATGCTGTGCATAAATTTTACTTTCAAAGGGATACATGGAAAAGAAAGATGAACAGACTCTCAGAGATTTCCTTGAGAATGGTTTAATTCTCAGAGATCATCCCATAACATTGTTTTTTCCCTTTAATTAAGAATCTTTCCCACTGCTTGCCAACACCCATTATGTTGTAGAGAAGCATTAATCATCCATGTGGAATTTTATGTTTTCAAAGTCTCTGAGAAAATCAACCTCTTCCCTGCCCCCATCAACTGAGCTCACAGACCATGGTCCTTTGGACATGTACAAACCTGTCTGATTTTTTTTGTTATTAGGTTACCAGGCTAAACTGCTAAACTAACTCGACTTGTCAGTTAAATACCTGTGAATTCAGGGAAAAACAGTCAAACTCATTTAAATCAATCCCAGACACAGAGATGGGTCAATGTTTCCCCATTTATTTCATAGCCTGTGCTAAAGTCCCCAGGAGGGATCACAAGCCAGGTGAAGTCATGACATTGCAGGTATTATGTTAGCTCTCTCGGTCTCTATGAGTATATGCAACATAGTAATGACAGTTTCAGACACACTAAATATATAGTTTGACTCAGTATTTCGCTTTGATGCAAAGAACCTCAGTATACAATGAATGAACAAGACCTGAATGTGTATCACCTTACAAAACCAGGCACGTAGAAGCATGTTTGCAAACAAATTAGAGACTTGCTCCTCCTAAAATCTTGCCCATCTCAGTCAGTGGCATCTTTGTTCATCTGGTTACTCAGGCCAAAGCCTCAGAGTCAACACCTCTCAATTTACCCACCCCACCCCCACCCCCACTGCCATAGTTAATACATCAGCCAAGCTCTGGCTTCACAATACCTCTGTCTTCAAATCTACCACTTATCATCACATCCGTTACATCACTCTAGCCCAAGCCGCCTGACCCTCCTATGCAGCATTGCAGTAGTCTCCTATAGACTTCTAACTTATTAATATGTGTAAGTCCCAAAATTATTTTCAATTTCTGCAGGATAAAAAAATACTATAACAAAATGAATGACAAATGGCTAAACAGGAAAAATATCACACACGCACACATACACACACACACACACAAGTTTAGATTCCTTAGTATGTAAAGAGCTAATAGAATATTATTTTTAAAAATATATTTAAATAGACACATGGTCAAATTGAGCAGTTTGTAATAAAGAAAATATAAATCATTTAAAAAACGATAAGAAGCTCAGTTTCTAACAAGAGAAATAGAAACTCAAAGTTGAATGAAATGCTGTTGACATGTAAAAAATTGGAAAAATTAAAAAATTTTAAGAACAGCCTAATGGTGATAAGGGAATTAATGTTGGTGGGAGGACAATTTAGAAAGTACCACCAAATATTCAAATGTATGTACTTCTTAACTTAGCAATTGTACATCTAGAAATCTATTTTACAGCTATATTTGCATATGAGCTTAAAGATACAAATATATATTGCAGTAACAAACAAATAAACAAAAAAACCCAGCCAAATGCCCATTGGCAGTGAGCTGGTTAAATATGTTCAGTACATCCATTGAGTGGAATACTATGCAACAATGAAAAAGAATGAAACAAAATGATGGCATTGGTAAGAGAAAATTTCCTGGATGTATTATTCAATGGTAAAAAGCAAGATGCAGAAGGGAATATATAATATGCTATCATGTTTACAAATATTAGTGGGAAATGTACATATATTCCTTGCATATGCACAAACTGTTTCTGGAGGGGTATATAAGAAACTCATAACAGTGGTTACCTTGGGAAAGGTGACCTGAAACTTTGGGGTGAAGAAGAGAAGACTGATTTTTTACTGTATTTCCTTTGTTATGGTGTTTGAATTTGTACTATATTTGAGAATTACCTGTTTTTAAAAAACCATTATCATTAAAAATTTTTTCCCATGAAAGGAGTTAGACTAATAATCTTATTTTGGTAATATGAATTTAAATTCAGAAAGAAAAGAACTTGTAAGATTCTGTCATTTAAAAAAATATTAGTAATATTAGTAATTAATAAAAATAACTAGTATTTTTAAATATTTAATTAAATACTAATTGAAAACTAGTAATTAGTAATATTTTCTTTTCAAATGTGAGATTTTTACCTAAAGAAAAAATTTCCCTCCTTCTATGTCTTTTCATTTTCAGAATTATGATGTATAAACTAATACTTCAGACAAAATAATATCCGATGTTTATGGGCACTGTGCAAAGCGCTCCAAAATAATGGTACTGTTCGTATCCCCCTGTTATGGATGGAGGACAGACAACTTAGAAGGATTAGTTCGCTTCAGGTCACAGAGCTGGTAAGTTATAGAGCGGAGACAAACCTAAGCAGTCTGACAACAGAGCCCACATTCTTCACCATGGCACGGTTTATTTACTGTGTTATTAATGACTCATTTGTTTCACACAAACCAATCCTTAAGGGTACATAATTTCCAATTCAAAAGAAGTACTTGTCAGAAAAGAATCTAACCTCAACTGTAGGAAATGAAAACGGAAATTTTTTTATAAGTAAATTTGTAAGCCCCATAAATAAAGTCGTAATATTGTTTCTGATTTTATGATCAATGATTCAGAAACACAAAAATACAGACATTTGAATAACAATTGGGAAGTATGATCAGAGGGTTATACGTACAGTACATGCTATGTTTTGTGTTTATATTCTTGACCTTCATGAAATCTTAAAGTAATAAAGACAGTGTTTTGGGTTTTGGGTCAGTGTGAAGTATTGAATTGTGTCCCCCAAAAGATATGCTGAAGTCCTAACTCCTATTACCACAGATTGTGAGGTATTTGGTCTTTACAGAGGTAATTAAATTAAAATGAGGTAATTAGGGTGGACCCTCACCCAGTGGGACTGGTGTCCTTATAAAAGGGGAAATGACACAGACAGACATGCACAGAAGGAAGATGGTGTGAAGAGACACTAGGAGAAGCTGGCCGTCCTCAAGCCAAAGACAGAGGCCCAGAGCAGGTCCTTCCCGTGCGGACACCCACTCTCCTGACCTGCGAATGTGACCTCATTTGGAGGGCCTTTGCAGACATAATCAAGTTAAAATGAGGCATGCTCGTTAGGGCATGGGCCCTAACCCAGCAGGATTGGTGTTCTTAAGAAGAGAAGACACCCAGACAGAGGGAGCAGGCCACGTGAAGACGGGGCAGAGGCTGCGGTGACGCGTCGACAAACCAAGGCAGGCCAAGGACTGCGGGCAATGCCAGAAGCTCAGGGAAAGGCACAGAACAGATTTTCTCTAGGTGCTGCCGCACAAGCGCACCCCACCCCAACCCTGATTTCAGACGTCTGGCCTGCAGATCCAAGAGAGGACACTTTGGAGCTTTAAGCCCCCCGGCTGTTGCAGTAGCACCTGTGGCAGGAGCGCCGGGAAACAGACTGCGGTCGGCTGCCTGGAATCGGGTTGGTGTGGGACTCATGGCTTAAGGAAGCGCTCCTGGCGAGACCGTTAACGGAGGGCCGGGAGAGCAGACGGGGAAGGGGACCCACGGGAGCCCAGCCACGTTCCACAGGTGGTGATGTCACCTGGGGGACTCTGGAGTGTGAATGATGCCTGGAGTGGTCCAGGGTCCCTGCCCAGGCGGACACAGCTTACAGACCACCCTCGAGGGACCTGTAGGCCCGTGGGGTCCGGTGGGGTCTGGTAACCAGAGGGTAGCTCTCCATTAGAGTGCCGCACGCATTGCTTGTTAAAATCAAAAGCATCCCAAAGAGGGGAAGGAAAAAATGGTAAAAATGGATGTGAGGGATGAAGGCAGAGCAACAGCATTGTCCAGCCCATCAAATGATCTGGTCTGGGACTTCTGGGGTCCAGGAAGCTGGAAGCTCAGTGCCATCCCTGCTACTAACCTGGGTAAACTTCGGGAACATACACTTGAATCTTGGGCCTTTGCTGACTCTTCTGTTAAAAGGAGATGATGATGCTTTTACTAATTTTCTTACAGAATGTCTGCTCTCAGGATTGATGTTCAGTGCAGTTACATACTGATTGTTAAAACTTAAATAGTTCTGTATTGAGTGGTAAAACTTCACTTCTCTGGGGCCCCTAGATGCCTCCTGCTACTTTAGTCACTTCTTTGGAACCCCTGGACTTTTCTACAATTCAGCAACTTAAGTGCTGGACATAGCTGGGGTTCTCCTAAATGCTACGGTCAGTGTTCTTTCTAATTAGTTGGCTGTTAAAGACTTCGACTATCATCCCAGATTAAGCACATACCTAATCCGGTGATAGGAACAGTGAGGGGAAGAAAAGAATTAGACAATCCCTGCCCCCAAGAAGTTTAAACTTAGTGGAAGTGGGAACAAACAAAGATTAAATAATTAGGAATAAGTATGTGCTAAACTCTGACTTAGTTCACTTGGGCTGCTGTAACAAAATACCATAGACTGGGTGACTCAAAAAACAATTGTTTTTCACAATGGAGCCTGGACAGCCCAAGATCAAGACATCAGCAGATTCAGAGTCTGGTGAGAACCCTCTTCTAAGTTCACAGACAGCCATCTTCTCACTGCGTCCTCGCATGGCAGAAGGGGTGAGGTCACTTTCTGGGGTCTCTTTCATAAGGGCACAAATCCCATTCATGGGGGTACCACCCTAATGCCCTAATCAACTCCCACAGGCCCCACCTCCTGATTCCATCACATCGGGGATTTAAACTTCAGTGTGTTCATTTGGAGAGAAACATTCAGGCCATAACCACTTGGCAATTTTGACACATAAGAAGTGAACATTTTCTGGAAAAAAGTGTACAAATATGGTACAAGTGTACAGTATTATCTTCAATGTTCCTGAATGGTTGAATCCACCCACGGCCCCTAGATTCAGTAGGGCCCCAGGATTTTCAAATGTCCATCACTGTCAGTGGTTTAGGTTATGTCATTTCCACCACTTTTACTACATTTTTCACAAACTTATGAGCTCTTCTGACATTGTATATACAGATACAACTAAATATAATACAGAAGAAACATGTAAAATTCTGTAGTCAGTATTTTCTATAACACAATCAATGGCATGTTAGTTTCCAGTACAAAGAGACTTTCTCAGAGGAAAAATTAAATAGCCAATGTAAGGATGCCTGCGATTTCCTCTGGATTATTCCAAGCCATATAAGTGCAAAAGGGAAAAGAAGATGGTGGAAGGCTGCAATCTTCCTGTAAGGCTTTGAACTGTAAAATTCATTCCCACTTTGGTGTCCAAGCTTGACCCCAGACCAAGAAGACTGGCTTTTGAATGAAACCACACTGATTGACCACTTGGGTTGCATTTGGCTAAGGGTTTACCTCAGTTTCCATTTTCTCAAGGCCTATTGAGGTTCAAAGAGGACAAATACAGCAAGAGAGTGATGAACTAGAGTCTAGGACCCAGTTTAGAATAAAGTAGCAGGCATCACAGAGATTCCTAACCTGGTATTTTGCATAGACTTTGGAAAATAATTTGGGAAAACTATGAACCCCTTCACATAATTTTACACTGATATCTTATTGTTTTCATCCTAAGTTTGCCATTTCTGACATATTATAAATATTAATTATTTAATTCTTAAACTGTCACATCACCTTCAAAAACACCCAATGGAATCTAAATACCATAGCAATTTAATATTTATATCATCCATTTAAAAAATACAGATCTTTAACCATTGGACAGTTCACATTATTTCTTATTTCCCCTCAAACTCCTATTTCTTTTCTACTTCCTCCTTAGAAGTTTATCCTAATGTAATTTTTTATGCTTGGAAGTGTTTTTGCTCGCCTTTTTATGATACTTTGCAACAGATACATGTCTATACATTTAATTTAACTTTCCGTGACTATAAAATTGAAATAAAAATTTCTTTTGTATGATATACTCTATTTTTAGTTTGCAATTCATTAAAAGAACAAAAATATATTACAAACGTTGATAAATGATAGCTAAAGTACAGTTTAATGAAGAGGTTGCCTCAAACTGGAAACAGCTTAGGTGTCCATCAATAGAGGAATGGAAAAACCAGCTATGGTGTAATCATACTGTGGAATCCTATTTAGCAACAAAAAGCAGTGAACTACTTATACACGAAGCAACATGGATGAATCTTAAAAACATTATTCTGACTAAGAGCATTCAGTCACAAAAGAGCACATACTGTATTGTGTGATTCCCATTTATGCAGTTCTAAAACAGACAAAACTAATCAATAGTGGGAGAACAGAACCGTGTATTTGGAGTGGGGACTGATTCGGACATGGTGTCAGGGAACTTTCTGGTGATGGTAATGCTCTATATCTTGATGCAGGTTTGAGTTTACAGGTGTATGTGTTGGCTGAAGCCTACGTAGCAGTTCACGTGAGATTTGAACATTTCAATGTATATTGATTTTATCTTAAAAGATAATGTTTTGAGGCAGTAAATTAGCTTCCTATTGCTGCTGTAACAAATTACCACGAACTTAATGGCTTAAAATGACCCAAAGTTATTACCTTACAGTTCTGGAGGTCAGAAGTCCTAAAATCAACATGCTGGCAGAACTTCATTCCGCTGGAAGCTCTAGGGAAGAATTCACTTCCACATTTTCGCTAGCTTGTAGAGGCTGCGTGCATTCCTCGATTCGTGGCTCCATGTTTCCATCCTCAAAGTACATTACTCCGACCCCTGCTTCAGTCGTCACGGCTGCTCTGACTGCCCCTCCTGCCTCCCTCTTATAAGGACTTTGTAATTACACTGGGCCCACCTGGATAACCCGAGATAACCTCCCATCTGCAAGTCTTTAATTATATCTGCGAAGTCTCTTTTGCCAGGTAAGGTAACATATTCCCAGAGTCCAGGGGCTAGGGTGTGGACATCTTTGGAGGGGCATTATTCTGTCTACTACATTACTTAAACAGAAGCCATTCTGTGAATGACGAAAGGGAGATAGTGCCCACCCCTGTGGGCCACAGTGTGGCAGATGACAAGTCATCAGTTCTCCGTTATGACACGGGGAGGAAAGCTTGCCAACGCCTCATCTGCTCAGCTTCATGGGCTTATGTAGGTTCTCAGCCTCTGCAGTAAAGACACATTTACCTCCCCGCTCCTCCTCCAGCTTCTGGAATTCAGGAAGACCAGTGGGTTCTTCCCAAGATACCAAAAGGGACCAGAATCACCCTTCTTCTTGGTTCTCTGATGGTTAATTTTATGTGTTTACTTGGCTAGGCCACGGTACCCAGATATTTGGCTAAACACCAGCCCAGATGTTGAGTTAGAGGTATTTTTTATGCGAGATTAGCATTTAAATCACTAGGTACTGAGTTCAGCAGATTACCTTCCATAATGGGGGGTGTCCTCATCTAATTAGTTGAAGGCCTTCAGAGAAAATCACTGAGATCCCCAAGAAAGAGGAAGTTCTGCCTCCACCCTGCCTTCAGGCTCAAGCTGCAGCGTCAACTCTTCCTGGGTCTCCAGCCTGCTGGTCTCCCCTGAAGATTTCAGACTCTCCAGGCCCCTCAACGGTGCCACCCAGTTCCTTAAAATTTCTCCTTCTGTCTGCATATATATATTTATATTCCATTTCTCTGATAAAAACCCTAATACAGGTCCATAGATCTCCACAGGCCAAACCCTCTCCAAGAAGACTTCTCCAGTGTCTCCTGTCCCTCTGCACCTCTGAACCCTTGGGGGACGGTCCCGGGCCAACTTCCTCTAAGAGGAAGGTGGCAGCACCCAAGGCCCTCTCCCCACCTCCCACTTTCCCCTGGAGCTGTCTGGAGTCAAGGAGGGCGCAGAACATAGGGACATTTAAGGCAACGTTTCCTCCAGATTTGTGTCAGGGTTCTTCTTAAACATGATTTTAAAATCCAGAATTTTTCTAGCTTTCCAGAACTGTATCATTCTCTAATTGAGTAATGCAGCTTATGTTTTTATCCAAGACATTGATAAAACCATAAGATAGCTGAGAACCAAATATACCCATCCTAGAAACTCTCTCTTTAGGATCCAATTGCTTTTTCATTTAATCCCTCATTTTCTAAGATCGTGTTTTTACAGTTAAGTTTACTTTTGTTCTCATTCTCCTTTGGGGCAGTTGGTGGCTTTTCAATCATGGGTCTCAATTTTAAAGAGAGGGATGCGTCCCTCCCTTTACTTCTTAGAAATCGACATTTTCCTTCCAGGAGATGAAGGGACGCCTGCCAGGCTCTCTGCCTCTGGACCTGCTCCCTCCCATATCCTCATGAGCTAACACAGGCTCACCAAGCTCAGTAAATAACTTCAACCTGCCACTCTTAGCTTTGGGGCCAACCCTCTCCTAAGCTGCAGGGAATTTAAAAAGCCATGTTGAGTGAATGTATTGAGTATGACCAATTCGCCATGTTGCTGGTTTTCTCGACTCTTGGTCCCAGGTCCAGTGACTCAGGTCCTCACTCCTATCTGCTTCTCAGTGCAGAGTCACTTCACTTCGAAGCTTACTTTTGTAGGCTGAGAAAGGACTGTCGCTTCAGTCAGTCGTGAGGCTGCCTGACATTACTGCTTGTCTGGATCATCACGTATTACCCAGTCCCTGCTGCCGTGCCTCAGTGGTCTGCACAACACCCATGCACTACTTCTTTCTACTTCTTTTCTGGACTTCCAAAGTGCTGAACACTGCCCAGTGCATCGACAGCCACGCTCCTCTCGGCAGGCGGTGCACTGCCTGCACGGGGTCCTGTGAGTGTGTCTGGACTCCAGGTGCAGAGCCCTCCTGGGCTGACCTGTCCCTCTCCTGTGTCCCGAAGCTCCTGTTCTCGTAGAAAGGATGTGGAATTCATAGGCTTTCCAGCAGAGCAGCTCCTCGGACGTGGGGGCCTCGTTTTACGCATGCTCAATTACATTAAATTCTTAGTTGTTAGGGGGAAAAATCTGATTTTCACATTCTCATTTCACCTGCAAAAATATGTAATTTCATCAAACTCCCTCTCACAAATGGCTTTTATATGGCTCATGAACTACAGAGTTTTGTTCTCTTATAAAAATACATTAGAAAGATTTGAGAGTCTGAAACTGTGATGAAAACCCCATGTCCTCTTGAGCAAGTGAGGAGAATGGTCAGGAACATTTTCTCCCAGTTTTCCTCAGACAGCAGGCTGGAGAGTCTTCAACAAATTCTTTTTACAGTGTCTGTGACTCATTTCCTCACTTGTAACATAGAGATACTAATGCAGAGCCAGCCAACCTTCAAAGAGTGTTAGGAGAATTCTGGTCACAGAGTAATTAAAGCTTTATTTCATATATGGTTTTGGCAGTCTGTATTTATCATATAATACTCTAGGGTCTGAATATCTTCTCTTCTTTTTGGCTTCCGTTCTTGTGACTAGAAAGTGTGAACTATACAGCCTGGGATGGAAAATCACTCCCTCCACAGCACCCTGGGCTGCAGTGTCCATAAAAGGCAACATGCTGGCTCGAGAAAGTGGATGATTTCATAACTAACCTGTAATCCTAGTTCTTCCCTTTCCCATCTGAAAGCACACTGGCACAGAGGAGAGAGAAGTCTCTTTTGTAAAATATGTTTTCATCTCACAGGGTTCCAGGTCTTCTGGTTGGGAAGACATTTATTTTTCCATAGGAAGGTTACTGCTTCCAGAAGAACCCTTCATGGGCATATAGTGCAACCTCTCTCTCAATGCAGAATTCCCATCTACCAAATTGATAGATGACCTTCTGAGGATTAATTTATTTATTGAGTGCCTACTGTGTGCTAGATGTTGTGCCAGGCATCACACATTGGCCAACCCTGAGAGAAAAATTCGAGTGCAAATAGTTTATTTGAGAGAAGGTCCCAAGAAACACTGGACATGGTGGAGGTGAGTTGGGAGGGGAAGGAAGGCAATAAAATGTCCATTATCAAGCAAGTTACCATTGTGGGCAAACAGTGCTCAATCCTGCTATGGAACTAAGAATCCATGGCTCAGAAGGAACCCAACCAAGGCACAAGGGAGCTGGGTTATCTTTCCACCAACTCTCCATCTGTCATGGCTCAAGGTGCTTTGAGGGGAGTTAAGTGCCTGGCACTTTTGACTTCCCACATGGCACAGTGTGTTCCCAAGACCAGGAAAAGCCTTCAAGCAGAGATTTTTAGGGGTCATCTGTAAGCAGACTTTGACTTTGGGAGGGAATAACAAGGGGTTTGGAGTGGGGCACCGATAAGAAGTGAGATCTCCTCCCCACTTTTGACCTGAAGGAGGGAACAGGATGTTTATTCCATGAACCCAGTGATGTCCAAGGTGGGGAGGGATATAAGCAAACAGGGGGAAAACACTGGAATAATGGGGTTGGCAAGACTCAGGGAACATGTGTAAACCTGAGTCAAACTGAGGTGAAGATGAGCTGTGAGAAGAACAGGTCTAGATGACTCAGGCCATGACTAGTTGCCAGTAGCCCAGATGATGAGGTCATCAGGAATGACGTGGAATACCAATCTTCCCGCAGCTGTGGTTGCGCAACAGTTTGTGACTGCTGTGCCCTGGGGGAGAAAAACCTAGGAAGGTAGGGTCAAGCCTTGGGCAAAGAGGTTGGAAGGAAGGGCTTCCAGTAACAACTCTTTCCCTGGGGAGAGCTGGCCGAAAACATGAGTGTCTAGGAGCCAAGCAGAAGGGGCAGCAGGTGGCTAACCAGGGGCTTGCAAGGTACAAGCTGGACTGCAGCACTTTGCTAGCCCTGGCCTGTTTCACACTGGGTACCTGGCCAGTGTAGGGATGCCAGGACTCACCTAAGGCCACCTGCTTTCATCTCACAGGAGCTGGAGGAATAACAGCAGCCAGCTGAATTACAGGTTGTTTGGGTTATAAGACGAGTGAGAACTAAAGCTGCAAAAGTCAGAGATCACTGAGGGAGCTGCTGGGTGCTGGGGCAGGGGGGTGACTGTCCAAGGTAAAGCAGCTTAGAGTGAAGCACTCCAAGTGTTTTCCTCTGGGTTGGACTGAATTTTACCTCCCTTGAACTTTCCCAAAGGGAACTGCCCTTTGGAATTCCTTGATCAGTCCTGAGAAAGTTTTTGGCCCATGGCAGTTAATAAGAACTTCCCTTTGGGTAGGTGTTTATGTTTGTGAGATAGTAGGAAGGTTATGACAAAAATGTTGTGACTAATATCCCCTCCCCTGGTTTCAGCTAGATTGTGCTATTGCAGATAGTTCCAGGGAAAGCAACTCTGCCACAGACACCTGGAGGGCCTGCTCTCCTGCCCAGCTCCTCTTTGCTGACCTTCCAGTTCCCATCTCAGGCTCACAATTCAAGGGCCATCGCAAACAGGAATATCTCCGTTCCTTCGGTCGGCCATTGCAAATCCCCCACTGGGACTTCTCCCCATTGTGATGATGCTCAACCTCTTACAGAATTTTAAATGTACTCAGTATTTGTTCAGGTGATCTCTCATTTAAAGAAACATATTTGCTGCCTGCAAACCTACCAATAAGAACTTATATGGATCAAGAAGGGCTTTAATTCATTTTTTGCTATCTGAAACATAAAACATAAGGAATTTTTAGACTGAAATGCTCTACTTGTTAGGTGATAAACATACTAGGCTGCCATCTCATTCAACCCAACCTAAAAGGAAAACCAACCAAACAATAAAATAACTATCATTGTGTTAGCCAAAGCAGCATCTTTAAGAATGAATAAGAGTGATGCACACGTATTGGCAAGTATGCTTGGTAAATTTGTATAAATGATACTCTTACACTCTAATTAGAATTTGAAACACTGTTTCTTTTAAAACTGAAGCAAGCCTTTATACTGTTCACTCTGTTTTATAGTACCACTCAACTACATACGGGAGACAATTAGATTAACATAGGAGTTATAGAAGGGAATTGAAAAGTTTGGCTAAAAGGTCTTGTACAGTTTGAACTAAACATTTTCTATTTTATTTTAATTGCATGTGTATGGATTTCTGAGAAATTAAAATCGATGTGCTCTTATTACAGCAGGTGCCCACTCCAAAGAGAGAGAAAGAACAAGCCACACCAAACACAGAAAAAGGGCAAGAATGAAAATTCTGCAAAAAGGAACTCAGAGGGATAGAGAGAATTATTTTTCTCACCCAACCAAAAAGGGGCTGGAAGAAATGGGGCATTCTCAATATAGAGAATAAACTTCTCTTTTTCAGTTCACCTGTGGTTGTCTCCAACTTTCATTCATTTTCCTAGAATTTCTAATAATGTTAAATATCCCAGCAATGAATTATTAATCATAGCTTTTATTAACAATATAGTTGAAAAACTTAAACCTTGGGAGTTGACATTCATACATATTCTTTGAGTTTAAGTGTGTATATGTGTGTGTGTGTATAACACATAATGTGTGATTTTTATATAATTACATATATATATATATATAACTTTTTATAAATGCTTTCTTTAATATTATTGACCATGAATCTGACTGTATGTTTTTTTATTGAAGTATCATTGATATACAATCTTGTATTGGTTTCAAATGTATAACACAATGGTTCAACAGTTACCCATATTATTAAATCCTCACTCGCTCTAGCTTGGTTACTGTTTATCAAGATAGAAAGATGTTTAACTGTATGTGTTTTTAATGTGAATATATTTCTTTTCTAAATGGTCTTTCTTCTTTTCCCATTTTCTTAGGGAATTCCATTTCCACTAATTCCCAATATGCCAAAAAAGGAACCATTTTTAAAGTTAGGTTAAAAATATTCTTTCTTTTCTTTTAATACTCTTAAAAACTGACGTAAAAGTAGGTCATGTCCTACTTCTACAAGACAGCCTGTGCAGATGGAGGAATACATGAAGGAAGTCGTAGTTTAAAAAGTCATTCACAATCCTCTATTTCCTAAAATGTTGAAATATTAAAGCTGAAATCATCCCTATAAATGATTTTGCTTTTTGTAGAGGAGCAAATGTGGGTTTATATGATGAAACCCAAATCCTAGAGAAAAGGTTACTATGTTTAAAAGGAAAAACACGTTTTCAAAAAATAAACAGAGGGAACTATGGTAGAGTTATAAATGAGGTCAAAATAGAATAAGAAACATCTGTTGCTAATATTCCTTTAATATGTATAGTAAAAATTTCCAAGTTAAGTAGGTCTTATTTTTGAAAACTTAATTTCTGAACTTTCATTGATAGAAGGGAGTCAGGAATCTCAGCAAACCATTTTTGTTTCATAATTTTTCTCATTCTTTTTGAGTAAGATAAAATTTTTCTTTAACCTTCACAGCATTGTCAAATACATTTTATTTAGATTTTCTAAAGCAGGAGTTTAGAATGATGTCTGGGATTGAGGCCTAGGAAGGAATCATAAAGGAGGTTGCAAGAATGTTAATTGCCTCTATTAACCATAAATGCCTTCTGGACATTACTTTCTTCATTCCTCAAAACAGTCCTTTAAAACAGGCAGTATGATGTCCATTTTACAGATAAAGAAAGGTGAGTCTTAGATTGAACAACTTGCTGAAAGTGGAATGACGATTCAAGCAGAGGCCTGCCTGTCTCTAGTGCCAGTGCACCAAATGACTTCCATGTAGGGTCAGACTGATAGACAGGTAGAGAACAGCATGGAAAACCTAAGGTTAAAATGGGGCCATTCCCTCAGAGGCGCTAATGAGTAGATTTGGAAGGTAGAATTTGAAGGAGAATAGGGTGGGAATTGAAGTAAATCATTAGGTAAGGATTCAGTGTAGAGCTGGCACTGGAGTTAGGACTTTATCAAGAGTTTTGAGGTAGGAATGGCCTCTGTACTTGAGATTGAGACAGAGTTTAGATTCAGAATGGAATTTGCATTGAGTACTGGGAAGGGATTGGAACATGACAGTGACAGTGTTAACTCTAATGAGAAGATTCACCCAGGCAATTGCTGGAAATACAACTCCTGGTCCCTCTCAGACCTGCAGAATCCCTGTCCCTCAGGGAAAATGATATGCTCACAAAGGAACAGAGGAGGGTCTGATCACCAGGAAAGTAGAGAAATGCTAGGCAGTGGTCCCAAATTGGGCTTCTCGTTA